TGAGAGGAGAGCTCGAGAAAGGCCGAAGGACGAAGAAGAGCGGAGAAGCGGAACGACGACGAAACCCGTTCTCATTATTATATTCATATTCAGAGCCGCGCGATGGAGCAAACCTCCCTACCTCCCTCCCTCCCTCCGCCGCCGCCTACTGCTGCTCCACCGTCTCTATATCTCTCTATCTCTCTCCGTCCTCCTCGTCCCTCGGTCTATCTTACTCTCTCCCCCCCTCCTGCCGTGTGTTAACCTCTTTCTCCATCTCCCTTCGTCTCTGTCCGTTGGAGCGCATCCCGACAGCGTAGAGCGGTATAGATATAGCGGTATAAAAATCTCTATAAAAAGTTGAAAAGTGCCGCCGCCGGAGTTGAGGGGCGACAATGGATGAAATATGCCGCTCCGTTCGACCCTACTGGAAGCCTTAAGGTGCCGGACACCTCCTTACACCTGCGCGCGGCTCCATATAGTGCCTTATTATAAACCGACTCGGCCGAGAACGACACGGACAGGACCTAGGGAACGATCCACGAAATCGACGCAGCCTTTTCTCTCCAATTAGAAGACTTCACGCGCGTATCCGCGCGCCCCGCAGTCTACCGCGACTCCTCGATCCGTCTTCCCGCGCCTCTCCGCGCGCGTGCATCTATTCGACCCCGCCGATTATCCGGCTAATCGATCTTTCGCTTTTTCTACCGTTGGCTCGACGCGAGCCCGGTTCAGTCGCACCGAGATCGTCGGCCTCCTCTTTTCCAACGAGACGCGCACGATCGCCCGATTTATCAGACTTTCCTCGCGGCGAGGGTACCGCGATCTTAGACCTTTCCTTCCTCTTCGTCGTTCGCGGATCGCGAACCCGCGAGAGACCCCGCTCCGGGCGAACTCGACGTTTCTCTCCGCGAGTTCGGACGCCGATTCGCGCGGAAGATATATTCGTCCGCGTTCATCGATCTTCGCGGCGGAAAGGTAACGGAGACATCGGCCGATTCGACGTGGGAAAACGATTCCGGCTCTTCCGGGACGCGCGGAGATGACGGATCAGCTGGGAGCTGCGCGATAAACTTTCGGGGGCTCGCTCGATATTTCGAATTTAACGGACAACACCGCTCGCACAATGCTGGTCGTTAATAATGATTTGTGCCCGCCGCGGATCCGGAGTTCTGCGCCAACAAAAGTCGGTTTTTTCATCGACCGGTCAAACTTCGCCCGGTATATCTTTCTCGCGACCGTCTGCACGGTCCTTCGGAATACCCCCGAATGTTGTCGGTCATTAGAGCGACCATTTTATGGGGTAGCGACGGCGGCAAGAATGGGAAAGGAGTACGGGTCCGGCACACGCTAGAAACGGAGGCTAGATTGGTGCGGAAAGCCGACGACTAGCTGTTTCCGCAACCAGGTGTTTCTCAGGGCCCGGAGACAGACCTTGCACCTTTCACGGGATAACCAGAACCCCCGGCGTGCTACAACGAAACCACTAATTAGGAAGGGAAGAAAGTGGCGAGAAGGAGGTCGTAACAGCGAAAACTGTCGGGGGCAGTTCGTCGGGCAAAGTTCGGTCCCGAGCGACGAAGCCTGTTTTGGAGATGACAATGAGACTGATTATTAACCAAACTGGGGGGCCTCTGTTGTGGGTACAGGCCCGTGCCGTTGTTCGTGGTACAGGATCGAATCCGTGTACACCCAGACGCGGCAGGAGATATTCATAGCGTTTCCGACGTTCTTTCATCGGCGACCGCCACGAGGAAACAGCCCGAACCTATTTGCAAACCTTCCGGATCTCCCAAATCCGTCGTACAGGTGCCTGTTTCGAGAAACAGATCGACTTAACCGGCCTGAACGTTCTCAGTCGTATTCCGCTTCTCGAAAAGATCCGATTCCGCCCGGAAGGATTAGATTTTACCGGTAACGAGCAACGAGTCGCCGTAGCCGGCGCGTCGAGTGTCCCTTCGAGAGCGTCCGTGTTACTCCGATCGAATTAATCGGCCGAGGGAACTTTCCGTCACGGCGGAACAAGGAGGTTCAAGGCCCCCGAAGAGTCCACATTCTTTCCTAGTCGCCGTCGATTCTCGTAACGTATTTTCGGCGAAGCTCACGATTACATCACGAAAATAAAGCCGAGACGCGGCGCGTTCCCGAACGCCGACCATCGCCGACCGGCGAGGTGTCATCGCTTGTAAATCACGCGCAAGCGACGTACGCGAATCGGCGGCCGGCTAATTTATAGCCGCGTTACGATGCAACGACGCGTTGAAACGGCGATTCGCGTTTTATCGTCGGAAACTGTAATATAATTTACGGAAGATGCGCGACTGGGATCCGGTCCGCGCGATAACCGATTCTTTTTCATGGTTTCGTCGACGACTCGTCTGTTCCTCGTGTTCCGCTCGAGGGAAACCCGGCTGACGGTCGTTTCGACGTCGTCGCCCGGACGTTCGGACCGCGACGACGACGAAACGATGATTCGGAGAGCGATTCGGACGTTTCGGCGTCCTCGGCGCGCATAGATTCCGATGGAAACGCCGGGAATGGAATCCGAATTCTGTCCGGAGGATCTCGAGCGACGTCCGACGGTCTGGCGGGCTCGTCGCTGACTCACTCGTTCCGGACTCGCTCGACAACGCAGCTGGCTCGAGACAACTCGGAACGGTCAGGTCGAACCTGACCCCGTCCTGGCCGTTACCGTTTCTGAGTGACGTCTTCATGTCTGGCTCTGCGGGGCATTCCTCGTTCTCATTGTCCGTTTGTCCGTCAGTCCGTTCGGTGCCTGGACACGGGACGCGTATCGCCAACCCCCCGTCGTCGGCCACTTCTCGCCACGAAAACTTGGCCGCACTGGCCGCGTTCTCTGGCCGCGTTTTCTGGCCGTGCCAAGTGTCCCGTAAAAAGGACGAGAAAGCCACGGAAATACGTGTCTCGGTACCGGCGGGCCTCGCGCCATCGCAGACTTTAACGCTAGAACTATCGGATGGATCCGAATAATCCTGATGCCTTCTACAACAATTAGCGAAAAGGTAACAGATGCTTCTCGCAGAGTTGCAACGAAATTAAGGAAAATCAATTCGACCGCTAGTTCCAGCGTTGAACGAGGCTTTCCGAGTTACGGTTAAATGATCGTTCGTCTAGATGATAATGCGTACGCGCACGAAAGAAAGGAAAATTTCGATATCGAAGAGCAGACGTCTGCTCGGACGTGAGCAAAGGGGATTCGGAGTTTGCGACGACGAATCGATGTAGCAACGATAATTACGAAGATTGATGCGCTTTGCATACGAGGTTCCGCTCGTTTCCAGCAGCGGTAGCTTTCTCGATTGAAAGGACGAGTACGAGCATACTTTTCGTGACGATTAGCGGGGATGACGTTGCGATATTCGGACAAATACACGCGGTGGTGTACCGCCGCCTCGGAGCGTCGGTCCCGAAAGAAACGGTAGAACCGATTCTGAATAGCCGCCGAAAGACGATCGAACGCGTCAAGAGAGGGAGGAGATACTGGGTGTTTCGTTAATTGCGGCCAATTAACGAATTTAACCTGCGACTCGTTACCGTAAATCATTCGCGCGGAGATCGTAAAAAGAAGTAGATCTCGTTCGGAACAGAACGCAGACCTCCCTCGTTTCTCCACTTTTTAATCAGCCATGCTACGTGAAATTTTAAGAATCGTTCGCTTTAATTGCGAGTCGTTATTAGAGTGGCTCGTTCGCGACTCGGGCGAAGTGACTTAACTCCGCGCTGCTCGAGTAATCCTTACGATTTACATTTTGCAAGTTGAATCGAATCGAAGTTGCCGTGCGATCGGCGAAACGACCTAAATACATTCGGCTCGATTGAAACGTACGTAAACTGTTGGCGTGAATTTAATCATTATATTTCTGTAACAGAAAGTATAATTAAAAACAGAATGCCCAGGCCCCGAAACGGAGCGCGATGGGTTAAATCGCGGCGGCGGGTGACCCGAGCATTTGCAAACGAGGCATAGGTGATGTTAATAGTTTTCGGATCGCCTTTTAGACGCGAAGAATATTCTTGATTTCGGAGGCGGATCGCGATAGCGTTTTAACCACCGGCTCCATTCGTAGGGCGTGTCGTGAAATCGTCAAAGGTTTCTCGCTCGGATTCAGGACCGTAACAGGTTCAATGGCCGAATAACGAAGGTTTAATTAATGAACGCGAAGGATGCACGGTATCGCGTACGCGTTCGAATCGTCCTCGCATGGAAATATTTACCATATTAAACTCGATTGAAGAGGCCAGAGCCAGCCAGATCCGATAGATGAATAGATTCCACAATGCCACAAGGGATTCCGTTATATCGGGCCGCGTAGAGCACAGCGAACGATAATCCGGCCGCGAAAACATACTAACGAACTCTGCTGCTGCTTCCACGTACTGACGGCGATTTACAATGACAGAGTCGCGGGGAATGTTATCAAACACGCCACGTCCTCGATCTTTCGCTAGAATCCGCCGCGCAGGATTTACAAGTGTTTACAACAAAGGGTATTTGAACGCGTCGTTCCATAGGCCAATGGCCCGATGGACACATTCCCCGTCATTAAACTCGACGCTATCGGGACTCGAAGCCTACGTTCCCCTGCGAGACCGTTAATTTTCCCGGCTAACGATTCCGGTCGGTCGAGCAGAGAAACGTTGACCGGCACGGTGGAATATTGTTGTGGTTTTCACACGGCAGGGGACGGGCCCGATTATTTGGAAACGTTTCAATAGTCCCTCACGAACTACCACCCATCTATACCAATCTAACGTCTCGCGTTGTCGGTGGAAGGGACGCGGCGAGCCTGAAACTCGCAACGCGCTTGACTACTTAATTACAACAACGATACTTATTAGCGTAGAATATTCGCGTTCAGAAAGGATTAAAGATAGAGTCGAAACAAAACTCGAACCCTTGCCACTTTGCTCGAACCCTCTCCTAATCGGATTACCGATTGATAGTTTCGGACGCTCCTTCCAACGACTCGCGGTCGACTGTTCGGGGTAGTTTCCCTCACCTTTTCCAATTCCGCAGTGACCGGCGATACAGCGTTCTGTCGATCCCCGCAGGATATCCGGCCGTGAGGTCTGGCGCGTCCGTCTTGGCCAGGTCTCACCGTCGCTGGTTCCGTCGAATCCGATTTTCTGCTTCTCACTCCCGAACTCGCGGCCCCGTCTCGTCGAGAATCTCAGTCGTGTTTCACACGCGAAACGCGCGCGTACGATTCGCGAGCTGGAGTCGTGAGCGGTGCGTCTCGGGGAACGGAGCGAGGCCCGATCGTGTTTCGATCACGTATTATACACACGGTGTATCCTGGTCGCGAGACAACAGCCGCAGGGACGACGCTCTTCTAGCCTGACGCCGGTTCTCTGGACGCGACGGGGATCGTCACGGGGTTGCTCGGCGACCGGGTCGTGGACCGGGTCTCTCGGGTCCAGGCC